CACTTAAATTTACTGCCTCTACAACAACCAAAGGCAACCCATTTCAAAAGCGAACCACCCTGTTAGAAAAATAAAACTGTCTTAGCTGAAGATGACTCCTACCTTGTGTCCCCTAGTCCTACTATTCTCACTGTTAAATATGAAAAAAGATGATGCACCAACATTATCAATTCCCTTTACAATCTTAAACACCTCAATCAGATCCCCCCCAGCTCTTCTTTTTTAAAGATAAAACAATTTGAGAGATTTCAGCCTCTTGTCATATGACAACCCCTCCATCCCAGGCACCATTCTAGTAACCCTTCTCTGAACTCTTTCCAACAATTCTAAGATAAGGAACCCAAGACTGAACACAATATTCCAAATGTGGCCTAACCAGTGATCTGTACAATGAAATTATAACCTCTTTAGACTTGTATTCAATATTTCTGTAGATACAACCCAAAATCCTATTTGCCTTACAACTAGCAACAGCACACTGCTTGGATGGCTTTAGAGACTGATTGAGTATTACACCAAGATCCATTTCCTTCATAACACTGTTAAGATTATTCCCATTCAGATTATACTTATAATTCAAATTATGATAACCCATATGCAATTTCTTGCATTTATTATAATTAAAACCCATCTGCCATTTATTTTCCCAACTCACTAACTGATCTAAATCTTTTCTAAATCTGCAGCATCCTCTTTACAGCTAGCAACACCCAAAACCTTATTATCGTCTGCAAATTTAAGTAATTTATTGACTATTCCTTCATCTAGTTCATTGATGTAAATCAAAAAGAGCAAAGGTCCTAAGACTGAACCCTGAGGTATCACACATGTGACATTAATCCAGTTTGACTGAACTCCATTTGTAACAACCCTTTGCTTTCATCCATCCAGCCATTCTTCTATCCAATTTGCTAACTTCTCCCCCACACCTACAGAGATAATTTTTTTTACAAGCCTATTATGTGGCACCTTGTCAAATGCTTTCTGAAAATTCAGATACACCAAATAGACACCCTTACCCTCATCTATGTAAGCAGTAACCTTTTCAAAGAATGTCAAAAGATTTGTAAGGCAAGATTTTCTTTTAGTGCAACCATGTTGAATGTCCAATAAAATTCTAAACTTTGTTTGTTTAAGTTAAGCTCAAAGCTACACAATGGGCTATCTGTGCTCTGCCCACCACAGATATCGAAACTGGGTTTATAGCATTGTAAGTCTGCTGGCATACCGCTGTGCCACTGGGGGGCTAAACTTTGTTAAATGACTTTGCAAAGCATCTTTTATCAGAATTTCCAAAACTTTTCCAACAACTGGTGTAAGACTAATGGGTCTATAATTACTGGGACAATTTTTATTACCTCCCTTCAAAAGAGGAGTTACATTAGCTAATTTCCGATCCTCTGGTATCTGCTCACTATTCAAGGACAGACAAAAAATAGTAGTAAGTGGCTCACATATCCAATCTTTAACCTCCTTCAAAACTATTGGGGAAATATTATCTGGCCCAGGAGCCTCATCGTTTTTTACAAATCCCAATTTTTTCTTAATCAGCTCAGAATTAATGCAGTCATCTTGTTTGATCTTAAATCTTTGTTAGTAAAAACCAAAAAGAAAAATTTAATAACCCAGCAATCTTGTAATCATCAGATACTAGCCTTCCTTTATCATCCTTCAAGGATCCTACCCCCCATCCTAACATTTTGTTTACCCTTAATGTATTTAAAGAAAGCCTTAATGTTAATTTTTACATTTTTAGCCAACCTTTTTTCATACATCCGTTTTGATGTTTTAATTTCCTGTTTCACCAACTTTCTTGATCTTCTATAATCTTCTAAATCTCCTTTCATACCAGTTAATTTAAATTTCTTAAATTTATTATGCTTTCCTTTAATTTTATCTCTTAAACTCTTTGTGAGCCACCCTGATTTTTTACTTACAGCTACCCTTTTCTTTCTATAAGAAATATGTTTACGTAGAATATTTAAAAATTTATCTTTCAAAATTTTCCACATCTGATCAGCTACCCAATTCATAACAGATAATTCTTGTCGGATTCCTTCAAAATTTGTTTTTTTTAAATTTGTAACCAAAATATCATTATTCCTTCTTTCTATATGCAGCAAAACATCGAACCTAGCAGAGCAATGATCATTTGCACCCAGATGTTCCCCAGTTTCTACCCTCTCAATCATTTCTGCATTTGAAGTTAACAATAGATTTAAAATAGCATTATTACTGATGAAATTAATGAGAAACTTTACATTGAAATTTAAGGTTTCAGCTGATAATGAAGTCATAATTATGGGTGATTTTAATTTCTGGCATATAGATTGGGAAATTCTAGAGTGAAACCATGAGGGAGAAAGGTTTTTGGAAACTGTTCATGATGGCTTTCTCCACCAATTAGTCAAGGAACCTACTAAGTATTATTTGGTGGTCTGTAACATATTCCCACTAAAAGCTTTTTCCTTTATATCCACTAATAGAAATCCAAATGGATTCAATCTCTTTGCTATTAACTTTTATATCCTCAACTTCAACAGAATGTAACTCACATTTTACATATAAAGCCACTCCTCCCTCCTCTTTAATACTCTATCCCTGCTAAATAGCCTGTAACCCTGTATTTCAAAGAAATTTCTGTCATCAAAATAATCTACGTTTAACCATGTTTCAGTTATTCCCATTATATCAAAATCCTCATTCCTACCAGTGCTCTAAAGTCATCTATTTTATTT